GGAACAAATTTTTTACTTTTGTTGGGTGTTTGATTTAAAAAAAGAATCAAAAATTTTGATTGAAATTTGGTTCCTTTAATCACTTGTAAATCAAATCAAATTGAAATTTTCTTCGTGATTGATTCAATTAAATAAATGTCAGTTACTTTTTGTTAATATATAAATCAAAAAAACTAAACCACATATTATATTTTTCGAATTTTCGTTCTTTGCTCATTTGTGCACGTGTTTCACGTATGCGTATGATAAAAACTTGAATATTGGGTTAATAATAATACTAAAGTGGTAGAATAAAGTGTTTATGTAATTAAAGCTAATCAAATTTGGTTGATCGTGGCTGCATTTAATTTGATTTCTCGTGTGATTGTAAATCTACTTTATTGTTGATTCAAGTTATAAATACTAGCGCCAAATGACAACAATAAATGTAATATTATATTATTATATCACCTGCAATTTTTTTATCATCATCAAAAATGTCATCGATTCTGTTAATGATCAGATTGGTAAAAATCACCACAAAAACTAATGAAACAGTATCTGGCAAGGTGGTGTTTTGGTTAAATGAGAGAATTTGGTTATTTAGAATTTAATTTCATGATATAATTAAAGGTTTGCGTATATTCGTACGTGGATCTTTTTTCTGATGCCAAAATTAAAGTAGGTTTTTGGCTGCAAGTAGTCAATCATTAATGATGAATTAATTATATCCTCTCTCATATTATCATATGGGTCGCGTTTACTTCGTCGAAAGTTTACGTCGAAAGTTCATTTTGTCAAAAATTATTTCATCCTTGAGCCAGAGACCAAACGAGTTAGATGTGAGGAGTATGGGAAGTTAGTTAAGAAAATTAGGAGTTTGTGGCAAGTGTGAGGAGGAATCTGTTTAATGAAGTTTTTTTTTTGTGACGAAATAATTTTCGACGAAATGAACATTTGACGAAACAAACTTTCGACGAAATGAATAATACAAAAATTAACTCTTTTAAATTCGACCTTGCATTCTGTTTAGGTTCGGTAGATACAAGTCTTGGAGCAACCACAACATCAAGAACAGTAGATTGTAAAAGAAGCAAGTTGCATTCACGTCCAGAGACAATCTGATACTACCACTATATCAAGCACGAAATCAGTGTCCTTTGATTACCAAAACTTCATCTAATGGTGTTAATTGCCTTCTTTAATTTACGAAATAACCCATCGTTACCTTCCAAGAGGCTTTGTTACTTCTAGGAAACCATCCACAAACATTTTTTGCAATTACGTATATTGTGATTACGCTAACTATGCTAATTTGAATAATTGTAGTGTATATACTCACGTGTGGACATGGTTATCACAATCATTGTCTACAAAGGTGCTAATCTAAATGTTTGATATCTTGGACTATCTTCAAGTCGAAATCAAAACGCACTAAAAAAAAGTATGACGAAAAGATTAAACGAAAATGAGTTTATCGAAAATAACGAAAATACAGTTGATGATCCGGGTAATCGTGTACCTTAAATTTGTTGTGTTTACAATCATTTCATTGACATTCATTATATTAAGGTTATTTTGATTATATCGAGAGATATGGTCTTAGGAAGAGAGTTATTCTTCAACCAAGTCGAAAACCAACCCTTTAAATACATTTTCGAGAAGTACAATTTAATTTATTAGACTATTTCAAAGGTTTGTCGCAAAAATGAATTGTCGGTAAAATGAATTGTTGGTAAAATGAACTGTCAGTAAAATGAACTCTCGGTAAAGTGATTTTCGGTAAAATAATATGTCGGTAAAGTGATTATCAGTAAAGTGAATGCATCCTAATTTTTGCAATAGATGTAATGGAACGAACGAAATATGCAAAGAAGGTTGTAAACATGGTAGCAACTACAAAAAAAACATTTTTTATATTTCTTTGTTCAAATAATTATTTATTTCCTTGATTAATAGGAAAATGAAACAGGAAACCGTGGTCATTAGCAACGTTAACAAATAGTCATGATTTATGTAATGGTATTTCTAGTCCATTGAATTCAGAAATTGAAGGTTTGCAAGTCAATGAAATACAATCACAAAATAAAAATAAAAGTAGCATTTCTGTAAATCTAAATAATGTCAACAGTTGTCATAATAACAATAACTTACTATTTTATTGAAAAAGTAAGTGTCTTTGGAATTGATACCTTTTCTACTTATCTAAGAAATGATGTAAATTTAAATCAAAGAAATTTTTTTTACATGACTTCATTCTAAATTTAGATAATGAAGAGCTTGCATTAGTGTTAGAGTTCATGTATTCAGGCAAGAGATATCTCAAGCGTAATTAAGCTTTTTTTATTAGCACTCAAAATATAAATTAAGTTAACTGAATGTTATTAAAAAAAATAATAAAGTAGCCCTATTGTATAGATAAGGAGAAAAAGAATTATATGAATTAAGAGGATAAGTGAATAAAATTTACAATGCTTTTTGTGTGATAATATACTGTAATGTAAAGGTTTTTTTCTTTTAGTTTTTTTATTGTTGATGATGATGATTATAATAAGGAGGACCCTGCTCTCCAATAAATGGTTTTCCAACTTGAGATACATCAATAGGAGAAGCATCGAGTTGGTAATTACCAACATTTGCTATATTTGCATTTGAGATAGATACTGTTTTCAAGTAATCCACATATTGTTTATTTATTGGTGTAGAACTATTGAATGAATCTAACGAACCGTGCATTAACAAATGATGGAATAGTATTGGATCTACTTCACCTCCATAGTTATCATTAACTATATCAAGATCAACATTTGTAGTTAATGCATTAGGACCAAGCACAAAATCACTAATGTTTTCAGGTGGAATTTGAATCTGAATTTGGTGTACATTGTATCGATTGGGGATGTCAAAAAAGCTGAACGGAGCTTGAATTGGTGAATCAGTCAAGTTGCTACTTCGAATGACAGTATTGTTATTGTTAATGTCGTAAGTATCATGCGAAAATGTGAACGAATATGAAGGTGTTGGCAATGTACTTTGAAAAGATGAGGAGGGCGTCAATCTATTATTGTTATTGTTATTTCCGTCAACACCAACGCCTTCATGGTTGAGTAAATCTTTCATGACATCGTTAAATTTGTTCAATCGTTTTATCCTAGGTTTTCTAGTTTTCTTCTCAACTCCATTGTTTGCGATTTTTTTGGGGGATTTTTCCTGTCCATTAAGCATACCTTGGGACGGCCACACGAAACATTCGGCGGAATACGAATGCAAATATGACCCTTTTCTTCACAGTTATGGCATGAATGCTTTTGGTCATCGCATTTTATATGACGTTTCTTACAACGAGAACAAGCGGTTGTTATATAAGTTCTTTCAATTTCATCGCCTTCATCTGAATTTTTTATTATATCAATCGCTTCACTGATCGTTGGTGGAATACCAAGACAAGCAGTTGTTAGTCCTTCATTTACATTTTTTGTATCGAGCATGATGGCCAAATTGTCCGTTTGATGATTCTTTTGTATCTTTTTGTTTGTTTTTTAATTAGATAATTCGAGGTTTTAATTGAAAATTTGGTTTTATTTTTATTTTAGGTTTTTTTGTTTTTTTAATTAATAGAGAAATGAAATAAATGAAAGCGAGAATTTATATTAACATTAATTCGCAGATCGTAGATATTTAGGGGATTCTATTTGTAACACAATTTCTTGATTGAACGATCCATTTTATCAAATTGAGTTTCCAAAAATGATTTTTTGCCTTTTTTTTAGTTGCACAGTTTACTATGTTGACCCAGATTGGTATGTTGAATATGTTAGCAAATCTCCATAGAATTAGGTTTTCCATTTATTCTAATCAATCGAATAATTTAATTTCTCTAAAGTTTTGATTCTATGATTTGATTTCTATTTTTACACAATCTCATTTAGCGATATTGTATTTGTCAAGCATCTGTAATGAAATTCTAGAAAGCCACAAAATATTATTATTATTAAATATTTAAGTATTAATTATTATCGGGATTAAATAAAGAATCATTATGTAATTCATTTAATTCATGATTGTTAAAATTTCTTTTTTATAGAAATGATTTTACTTAATTAATAAAAATCTATATTAATATTCGGTTATTTTAAAAAATGGATCCGCTTCCGATCATCAGCGTCAGCAACAGCTGCAGATTAAACTACTAGCCGGTACAGCCAATTAGTCGAACATCATTATATATACCTACAGCTATTGAATAATAATCAAATATCATATTCACAACAATTTGGACAAAGTTCACAATTAACAAATTATCAATGTCCAGATACATACATATTACAACAGCAAAAGATAAACAAGCTGATCCGATTCAACATCGTCAACAAAAGATAATGTGAACGATCGTTTTTATCTCATGTAATTTGTCTCGTAAAGTACATCTAAGGCGTGAAATAAAAGAGGACTCTGATTTTTGCAACAAGTGTATTGGAACTAACGAAATATGCAAATGAGGTTGTAAACATGGTAGCAACTACAAACCAAAGTTAAAAATAATATTTTTATATTTCTTTGTTTCAAATAATTATTTATTTCTTTAATTAATAGGAAAATGAAACAGAAAATCGTGGTATTAGCAAATGGTCATGATTTATGTAAAGGTATTTCTAGTCTTTTGAATCCAGAAATTGGAGGTTTGCAAGTCAATGAAATACAATCACAAAATAAAAATAAAAGTAGCATTTCCGTAAATCTAAGTAATGTCAACAGTTGTCATAACAACAACAATTTACTTACTATTTTATTGAAAAAGTAAGTGTCTTTGGAATTGACACCTTTTCTACTTATCTAAGAAATGATGTTAATTTAAATTAAAGAAAAAACTTTCTACATAACTTCATTCTAAATTTAGATAATGAAAAGCTACATTAGTGTTAGAGTTCATGTATTCAAGCAATAGATATCTCAAGCGTAATTAAGCTTTTTTTTATTAGCATTCAAAATATAAATTAACAAGCTAATTGAATGTAAAGCTCCGAACGGTTCGGTTTCGGTTTCGGTTTGTATGCAAGAAAATCGGTTTGGTTTTGGTCTATAAACCGAAAGTTCGGTTCGGTTCGGTTTCGGTTTACCCATAAACCGGTTCGAACCGAACCGTTAGGAGCTTTAATTGAATGTTATTAAAATAAATAATCATAAAGTAGCACTATTGCATAGATAAGGAGAAAAGTGATTTTATGAATTAAGAGGATAATCGAATAAAATTTACTATGCTTTTTATGTGATAATATATACGTAAAGGGGGGGGTTTTTTTTGAATAAAATAAAAAAAGAAATAAAATTTTTTAAAAGTGATTTTTTAGTTTTTTATTGATGATGATAATAAGGAGGACCCTGCTCTCCAATAAATGGTTGTACAACTTGAGATACATCAATAGGATGAGCATAGAGTTGGTAATTACCAAAATTTGTACTTAAAATAGGTGCTGTTTCAAGTAATTCATATATTGTTCATTCATTTGTGTAGAACTATTGAATGAATCCAACGAACCACGCAATGGAATTGTATTGGATCCACAGCTATCTCAAGATCAACATTTGTAGTTAACGCATTAGGACCAAGCACAAGATTATGTAGATTAAATCAAATTGAAATTTTCTTCGTGATTAATTCAATTAAATCAATGTCAGTTACTTTTTGTTAATATATAAAGTATAAAGTATAAAGTAAAATTGTTACAAAATTTTACGAATTTTGTGGAATTTGTTTAGTTTAGAACTAAGAAAAATCCAGGATTTAATTTTTATTATTTGTTTGAAAATTTCAGAAAGAAAAGAGAAAAACAGCCTTTGATTATCATGAAGCAACATAGCAAAACCGTCATTTTTAATTTTTTTGGTGTAACATTTTGATTTTACCCAATACTAATGCAGATGGTTTAGATTACTGTAGCAAGTTTTTTAATCGTAAATAATTGTTTGGTTTAGATTGTTAACTAATTAGTAAAAATGTCTTCTTATATCTAGCACAAAAACTAGTCTTGTCAGTGTGGACTCTTGAATTAAAAAAAAAATTATTATTATATTTGTATTTTTAATTTAAATTGTGCACAAAAAAAAATCAAAAAAACTAAACATATTATATTTTTCGAATTTTCGTTCTTTTGCTCATTTGTGAACGTGTTTCATGTATGTGTAAGATAAAAACTTGAATATTGGGTTAATATTAACTCGATTTAATAATACCAAAGTGGTAGAATAAAGTGTTTATTTAATTAAAGCTAATCAAATTTGGTTGATCGTAGCTGCATTTAATTTGATTTCTCGTGTGTATGCTGGTTGTAAATCTACTTTATTGTTGATTCAAGTTATAAATACTAGCGCCAAATGACAACAATAAATGTAATATTTTGTTATTTTATTACCTGCAATTTTTTTATCATCATCAAAAATGTCGTCAATTCTATTCATGATCAGATTGGTAAAAATCACCACAAAAATTAATGAAACAGTATCTGGCGAGGTTGTGTTTTGGTTAAATGAGAGAATTCGGTTATTTAGAATTTAAGATGTTTAATGAATATTTATTTCATGATATAATTAAAGGTTTGCGTATATTCGTTCGTGGGATCTTTTTTCTGATGCCAAAATTAAAGTAGGTTTTTGCTGCAAGTAGTCAATCATTAATGATGAATTAATTATATCCTCTCTCATATTATCTATTAGTAGTTCGCCAAGCAATCAAACTCGACATACGGGTCGCGTTCACTTCGTCGAAAGTTTGCGTCGAAAGTTCATTTCGTCAAAAATTATTTCATCCTTGAGCCAGAGACCAAACGAGTTAGATGTGAGGAGTATGGGAAGTTAGTTAAGAAATTAGGTGAGGAAAGCGGAGTTTGTGGCAAGTCTGAGGAGGAATTTGTTTAATGAAGTTTTTTTTTGTGACGAAATAATTTTCGACAAAATGAACATTCTAATTTGACGAAACAAACATTCGACGAAATGGGTGTCGACAAAATGAATCAGACCTTACTTGCTTCATTAAATAATACAAAAATTAACTTTTTTAAATTCGACCTTGCATTCTGTTTAGGTTTGGTAGATACAAGTCTTGGAGCAACCACAACATCAAGAACAGTAGATTGTAAAAGAAGCAGGTTGCATTCACTTCCAGAGACAATCTGATACTACCACTATATCGAGCACGAAATCAGTATCCTTTGATTACCAAAACTTCATCTAGTGGTGTTAATTGCCTTCTTTAATTCATGAAATAACCCATCGTTACTTTCCAAGAGACTTTGTTACTTCTAAGAAACCATCCACAAACATTTTTTGCAATTACGTATATTGTGATTACGCTAACTATGCTAATTTGAATAATTATAGTGTATATACTCATGTGTGGACATGGTTATCACAATCATTGTCTACAAAG